CATAGACAACTTAGGAATTACCATAATGAAACACGGATGACAGTTATGTACAATGTATCGGAAGCAGATTTTCTAGTGCAAATCACAGTAGTGGGAAAACTATGAATATTAACGTATAATTATTTAGAGTAGTTTTACCACCTCACACACCAGTTAACAGCATCCGTCATTAAGCATTCCGCACTTCTATATAAAGTACCTACTGATTACAATGGATATAAGAGTAAATAAGAATGAAAACTTTCTGAATCATTTAATGCACTTTGCCTCAGCATCCATTACTATTAAACAATTCTGACTAAATAAGCCCAATGACTGATATGCAATAAAAATAAATTTGTCGGAATGTTACTTAGGAAAGTAATAACTTGATCATAGTTAACACCAAGAAATGTTACTTGAGCTTGAAAACACAATTTTCTCATACAGCCGCAACAATTATATTAACCAATGATCTCATAGACCTTGATAAGTGTCGGCGTCGTCAAATTTAATCATCTCATGTAAGAAATGTTCAAGTTTTCGAAGTCTGTTTATGGTCAAATGGTAGGGTATGCTAATAAATAATTGTTAAAATTTTTTACCACAATAATGAAATGCACAACCTTGCGAGATTTTTGATTTTTATGTGTCATGAACATTATTCCAACATATAATATTTCTTTGTCATTAAACGCAATTACTGGTCAGCAACTTAAGTCTTGCAGTTAAGTTTAGGTTCAGGCAATCATGCAGTCTATAATGGGCCTTACATCGGCGGAAGGACTTTACATGATCTGTTTTAATGGTTCAAAATATATAGTATTGAATGCACTGCGTCATATGTGCCACATGAACTGCGAGTTCCTTTCTAAGGTGATTCTATTCGAATGAAAGGATGGTGCTAGTTGGAGCAGCGCAGAATTGCAAATACATATTAATTAATAATCAGGATAATAATTGGAAACAAGTTTAATCTGCTACTGCTATATTTTAATATAAAAATTCCTTGCTATTGAAACCTCTCCGGCATTCATATAATGGTGCCAAATAATATTGTGTAAATTATAGTATATAAATGCTGCTTGTAGATTTCATTTAAAAGGTAGGTGGCAATTAATGATCTCGACTAGAACATTTCTTTCACGCACCTTTGCTAATGTAGCCGACCTGAGACCTGATAAGAAGAAGACTAGTACAACAGAACAGGCTTTACTGACCAACCACAATCTAGAACTACACGTCTAGCGCCGTCCATCTGAGTCCACCACCACGGCTGAGCCGCTTCTTTCATTCCGCTTCTCATTTGTCTGTCACTGATTGGCCGCATATCTTCCTCGGATGCACTGGAACGAAAAGAGACAGAGGATCACCTGAGGCCAGCGTGGTCCAAAATTTCTGCGCCCTGATCCGTCGCCACACTGCCTTCCCTGAATACTGAAGCTGTCCTCAGCTTCTGGCTTGGTTCCTTGCACTGTTTATGATTGTTAAATATCCAGTTCGACACTCCCCGCATCACACATCTGGCATGCTAGTGGACCAAGCGAATGGTTGACGAGGGACCATGCTCTTGTAGACTTGCCGGAAGGCCGCCAACTCCATCGTAGGTTCCTTCGCAGTTGCAGTCCAGTTGGCTTCTACTGTCCATTTCGTCGTCCCTGAGTTGCCGATGCCTCTTCAGATGCAGAAGTCCTAATCCCGGGCAATATCTATGGATCCAGTATATAGGACATCGGATGGCCGCCATGACAACTTTAACAAGCAGTGAGGGGTCTTTGCCTCTATTGACCATAAAAAAGAAAGGGCTGGGGTTCGATTCGCGTTTTTCGAATGCATCCACTGCCACCCGGGCCCTAATAAGAAAAAGTCCGGTACAACAGAACAGGCTTTATCGACCGATCAAAAGCCAGAGCCACACGTCAGGCGCCTTCCATGCGAGTCCTCTACGTTGGCTGAGGTCAAGTGGTCCAATATGTCTGCGCCCTAATCCGACGCCACTGTAGAATACCCGAGCCCTAATAGGTAAAAGACCGGTACAACAGAACAGGCTTTATTGACCAATCAGAAGCCAGAGCCACACGTCAGGCGCCCTCCATTCGAGTCCACGATGCTGGCCACGCCGCTCATTATATACTGCACCTCAGTCGTGTCCTTCTCTGGTTGGCTGCTTACCTTCCTCGCATGCCATTGGAACGCAGAGAGACATAGGATTGGCTGCGGCCAGGTGGTCCAATATGTCTGCG